ATGAATTACAGGAACTCATAGTCGTGAGATCAACTATACTTTCTAAAAGTATGATGCAGTCCACATACCAATCTTATCGCATATCATCAATATCCCATTCTTGATGATCATTGATTGGGGCCTTTTTAGGACCTTATGTTTTATCATATAAGCTCCCACTTACTTATTGAAAACATAAGTCCAAGGGAACACAATTATGAATAAGACATTGACAATCGAAATGCTTAATCATCAATGTGTAATACCGTATATATCAAATATATAAAACTGAATGTGATCAAGTACATATATCTCTAAAAAGTGATTGTCGCTAGGACATATATACTAACAGTAGATCCTATATCTTTCCTTGATGCCATTAATTGTGACCAGTCGACTCATTGGAAAGAAGCCATGAATGAGGAACTTCTTTCCATGGAGAAGAACAATGTTTGGGAACTTGTTGAATTACCAAAGGGTCAAAAGCTCGTTGGAAGCAAATGGGTCTTTAAGACTAAATTAGATCCAAAGGGAAACATTGAAAGATACAAGGCAAGATTGGTTACTAAGGGATACACTCAAAGGGAAGGTGTAGATTATCAAGAGACCTTTTCACCGGTCTCTCGAAAGGACTCCCTAAGGGTCGTTATGGCTTTAGTAGCTCACTTTGATCTTGAGCTACATCAAATGGACGTCAAAACAGCCTTCTTAAATGGAGATTTACACGAAGATGTTTATATGATACAACAAGAAGGTTATGTTTCTAAGGGTCAAGAAGTCTATTTATGGGCTCAAGCAAGCATCTCGACAATGGTACCTCAAATTTGATGAAGTCATGAAATCAAATGGCTTCATTAAAAACAAAGTAGATCAATGCACTTACCTCAAAATGAGTGTGAGAAAATTCATCATACTTGTGTTATATATTGATGACATCTTATTAGCAAGTAGTGACTTGGATTTATTGCATGAAACAAAACACTTATTATTTGGCCATTTTGACATGAAAGATCTAGGTGAAGCTTCTTATGTTATAGGCATTGAAATTCACCGAGATAGAGTCAAAGGGACGTTAGGCTTGTCCCAAAAGGCATACATTGAGCGCATTTTAGAACGTTTCAACATGCAACAATGCTATCCATCAGTTGCTCCAGTAGTTAAGGGAGATGTTTTTGGGTCATTCCAATGCCCAAAAACCGAGGTTGAGAAAGAGCAAATGAAAATCATTCTGTATGCTTCCGTAGTTGGAAGTCTGATGTATTCTCAAGTTTGTACTCGTCCAGATATTGCATATGTATCCGGTATGTTGGGTAGATATCAATCTAACCCAGGATTAGATCATTGGAAAGCCGCTAAGAAAGATTTGTGGTATCTTCAAGGGAGTAAAGAGTACAAATTAACTTATCAGAGGTCTAATAATTTAGAAGTGGTTGGATATTCCGATTCCGATTTTGCTAAGTGCAAAGACGATAGGAAGTCTACTTCGGGATACATTTTCTTGCTGTTAGGTGGGCCAATATCTTTGAAAAGCCACAAGCAATGACTTACAACTACTTCAACAATGATGGCCGAATATGTTGCGGTGTACAACGCAACATGTCAAGGGATTTTGTTAAGGAATCTTATCAAAGGATTCAAAGTAGTGAATTCCGTCTCAAGACCACTAAGGATTTATTGTGACAATTCCGCGGCCGTGAGCTTCTCAAACAATAACAGTTCGAGTGGAGCGGGATTGTTCCTCGATACAAAATATTTGTTCGTTCGAGAAAGAGTGGGGGAAAACGAAATTTGTATCGTACACATCCGCACAAATGATATGCTAGCAGATCCTCTCACCAAAGGACTTCCGCCCAGTATTTTTCAAAGACATGTCACTAATATGGACTTGATCAAAGATCCTGTTTAGGAAATAATAGCATAGTGTCTGATTAGTTATCTTATTTAATATTTTCAAGTACTTGATTTAGAATTCCTCCTTAAGTATGTTTTGTCTATTCTTCATTGTGCACACAAAGTTATTTAATAGACAAACATAATGCCCTAAGTTTAATGTCAGTTGGCTTATATTAATCCTTATACTCTTTAAGAAGTGTCAAAGTATGATTAATAGGGGTTCCGGGTTATATTGACCCGTTAGACTGTATTTGTTTGCTTTGATATTATTATGGAGTAAGATGAAATTTTCTTGGCCAAAACTTACTTTAACTTATGTATAAATGATCTCAAGGTCAAGTGGGAGAATGTTGGAAAATATTCCATTTAAGTGCCCTTGGACCATTTATAAAATTTAAGATATATTGGGGACATTTATGTCTTACAATTAAATTTGCCATATGACAGATTTGGTCTCTGTATTTATGTATAGTTAACATATGATGGGTATGTTTTAACATTAAATAATACATAAGGGACCAAAGGGGTTTCTCTTTGATACAAGATAAAAACACCCGTACGTTCCATTCTTACGACTAAAATGGCCGGACACGTCTCTTCCCAAAGGTATCAAGAACACCTATATTAGGAGACCCAAGGAAGATCGTTTAATCCATCGAAATCTACTTGTATCCTTAGAGAATCAAACGTCATGGCTTCATCGTCTTCTACGACACCATCAACATTCGGTTTCTCGTCAACCGGTTAGTGTTCTTATTTCTTGATTCAAGGGGTGGAGGAAGAGACGGAAGAGACGGAAGAGACGCAGGTTTTTTAAAAAATGGATTTGGAAATCCAAGGGGTGGAGGTGAGATTGTTGGTGGAATGGGTTATTCAATTTTTTGGCCCAAAAGTCCTTCAAACTCTATCAAAATCCATCAAAATAATCAATAAGCAAATTCCATGGAATGTTTGAGGATACCCGGATTTTAATGGACTCTATAGAAATCTAAATTGAGGACACCTGGATTTGGATGGAATTCTAAACTCCTTTAAAATCATTTAAAATTCGTGTCGGGGACACCCCCCTTAGTTTATTCACTAACCAATGACCCATGTCGACGGCGGGCAGTGAGGCATATAAACAGTAGCCGATTAGCGATCTGTGTTGGACGTTGATGCGTGTTGAGATCGGCTTTTGATAGTTTTTTCCTAACTTTAAGGTGTCATAAGTCTCAATTTTAAGCTCAAGTCATATTTACCGGCCGTTGGTTCGAGTTTTGGTATTTTTGGAGTCAAAATCAGGGAATTTGAGCCTGGCACCACCGGTGTTTGAGAAGCAATAGGGACGAGTTGAGAAGCATTTTAGAGTTGATTAGGAGCATTGGAGATCAGTGATGTGTTAAAGACAAAGTTTTGAAGACAAAAGAGCTCTAGAATTGGCTACGAGATCAAAAGAAGACGAATAGAGCTTGAAAACAACGATCGGGATGACGTTCTATCAATCGTTCAAACATATCTTTTGTTAGGAACATCCAAAAAACATGATTGAAGTTTCATATGAAAGCCAACTTCAAGGGCTACAAATCATATGAAGACACCATTGTGAGAATCTGAGAGAAGCAAGGTGAAAACAGACGATGAAGTCAGACAATCTCTGTTGAGATTTCAGAATGCGACCTTCCACCATTTTATTCATATATTTTTATTGGATGATTCAAATCCAGTTTTGCAAGTTTTTTTGGATAGAAGACTTCATTAGCTACAACTTTGATGAAGGACGGATAGTCAAAAGTGAACTATAAAGCTGATTTCTGCTTGCAGTTGCCGCTTGGTGTATTGGCGATCTGCGAATAACACCTAATACTAATATTGGAGTAGAATTTTTTGGAGGCCCCCTTGGTAGTTGAGGCCCAAGGCAGTTGCCTGGCCCAACTACCCTCAATGCCGCCCCTGACTATAGGTGAGAAGAAATTTGACTTGTTTTTAATTACTAAAATGGGACCGGTATACCGTGCGCATGATATACTGATCCCACCGTATAATTTGCGAATCAAGGAGAAATGGTCATCAATTACACCAGCAAACATAAATCTCTAAAATATTCTCGCACTCAAGAAGTGGCTTGAAAAGAAGAAATTTTGTCGGTTGACTCAATTCGTAAGCGCTGACGCCACTAGTGAAAATAAAATAGCACCTATTTTGTTGTAGGAACTTAACTTCTCGAAAACCTATTGGGATGCTTAATAGAGAGAAAAGGAATGTTTTGGCCTTTTGGGTTAATATAGCAAAAGCCATACAGACTATTTTATTGAAGTTGATGAAAGTTGACAAAAATAAAGTTATTCAACAGCAACATACGGAGTAAGATAAATTTAGGCAAATCAATAATTAATTAGGTAATTCCCTGAGTACTTTCAAGTCCTATCCTTGCCAAGCTTTAATAAGAAATTTATATTTTTTATTAATAATTAAAACATTAAAATAATAATAATATATATTAGTTTTTAATATTTCATAAAAACATGAATTCAAAATAAAATTAAATGAAATAAAATCGTAGATAGATAAAAAAAAGCTTAAAAATTTAAAATAAAAAATAAAGTTTCCATGTTAAATTTCCATTCGGTTGTTTCCATGTGTTTCCTAATTTACGATTACGCCCGTTTGTGTTTGTTTCACATTTTCATGTCCCAGTTTCAATTAGTTTAATGAGCATGCATGTAAAAGTTAAAGAGGTATGTACTAAACATGTAGTTTTTGTTTTTGAGAAAATGCTAAACACGTAGTTATCATGTTTAAATTATTTATTTATATCGATCATGATGATGAAAAGTAAATACAATTACTAATACATTTATACAATGTATATTATATAATACAAGTATTAAACTTTGTTCGGTTCGATTTGTTATTTTTCTGTTTAAAATCAAATCAAATTGAACCTTTCGATCGGTTTAAATATACTTCCAAACGATTTACTTTCATGAATTCAAATCGAACTAAAATGCCTTTTTTTATCGGATAAAAAGCAATGCGGGGATCTGATTGAATTGATCAATTAATTTAAAACTGCAAGTAGCCTTGAAAACGAGAGTGGGTACTCTCAGTGATATAAATAACGCTACGAGATGGGAAGAGTAATACAAGTCTGAATTCCCATTTCCCGGCTAACCATCTACCAGTATATATATCTACCGGAAAAGATGGTGCTTGAGGTCCATGGCTACTTGCTATCACCACCGGTGTTGAGAGTTATTGCCTGCCTCAAAGAGAAGGAACTCGATTACCAGTTTATTTTTGTTGATCGTCAGGCTGAAGATAACAAAAAAGAACCTTTCCTTCGCCTTAATGTAAGTCAAACTGTACGTAATAATAATAGCAATTTGCTTGTACGCAGTTATGCTGATTCATGTCTTTCGTCTTCTCTTATTATCGTCGCAGCCCTTTGGTCAACTGCCTGCCTTCACGGATGGAGATTTGACCCTCTTTGGTAACGCTATTCAAGTCATGAGAGATTTTAATCCTATATTTTCGATTGTGTTTGTTATTAGTTCTTTACTGATTTAGTTTTGTAAGAAATAATTATTTTCAATTTAAAGACACTTCGAGGAAAATTCGATGGCGGCGGTGTATTTTTTTGGACTGCACTTTCGGGGAAGTCTTTAATTTCCAAAGATTTATTAATTAACACATGCAACACTGCTCGAGTATAAAAACACAAAAAGACCACATATAAAGCTCTACCTCTTTGAATTACTCTTCGTATAAGGTTGAGCCAATTAAAACTGAACTTCAAATCTTATTATTGAGTTACATTAATTAACTAATAGTTAGAATACAATATAATTTTCTCTATTATCTGGTATATATATGTGCTTTGAAATACATATTGAAGAGAGTGAGTGAATCTCATTGCAAACTTAATCATTAATAATATAGAAATTACACTAAATAGGAGTAAAAACATTTTGAAATTCCAAAACAGGACTTTCATGTTTTTATTCACTAAATAGGAGTAATTTTGCCAAGTTTGGAAAAAAATGTCATGTTTAAAGCCTAGTAATGTCAAACTTGACAGAAGTTTACTCCTAATCTGATAATAAAAAACATGATAGTCCTATTTTGGAATTTCAAAACTTTTTTACTCCTATTTAGGGAATTCTCTCATAATAATAATCAAAACATAGTGTGAACGTTTTCTCATCATGCACATAGAGTCAAGAGCAATCACCCAGTACATTGTACACGCATATGCTGACAGTGGGAGCCAGCTGGCCCCCGAAGATCCTAAAGCAATGGCGATCTTGTCAATGTGGATGGAGGTTGAGGCTCACCAATTTGATGTGGCAGCATCCAAGCTCAACTATGAGCTCGTCATAAAGCCTATGCGCAACATGACGAGCGATGATAAAGAGGTGGCAGGACACGAGAAGGCGCTCGTCAAGGTTCTTGACGTATACGAGGAACGACTTAAGGTGTCACAATACTTGGCTGGGGATGATTTCACATTGGTTGATCTTCACCACACACCCCTCATATATTTCCTCATGCGTACTAAATCCAAAGCTCTTTTTGAAGAACGTACACATGTTGTTGCATGGGTTCGTAAGATCTTGACCAGGTCTGCTTGGTCAAAGGTTCAGCAATTGATTCCGCAGAACATTGTCGTCCCTTCTTAATTACATGATTAAGTGCATCCTCTACTATTAATATATTGTGAGTTTGAGATCTTCATCGTGTTCCTTGTATTTTAGATCGCGCGATGTTCCACCTTTTTCATAATTATTTGTGCTGTGTTGTACCTTGTAGTGTACCTTTGATCGTGTTTCATTTCTCTCATGTGAGAATTACACTTGCATTTTACTATATGCAATAATAAAGTTGTGGAAGTTTTATTTGTAAAATCTTTTACCAATTATACTCTGTAAATTTTTAGTGAATTTTTTTATAATATAAAAATGATATGAAATTTATAACTTCCATAATTTTATATTAATTTTGACTAAAAACAGTGTGATCGAGGTTTGTACAGAGGACAAAGAATTAATTGGAACAACAAATTTTTTACTTAAAAAGTAAATTAGTGGCAAACTTAGTGAGACAACTAAAAAAATTAAAGTTGACAAAGTTTTATAGGACAACTTAATGAGACAACTATAATATTATACTATTAAAGTAGTGATTACAATTAGACACTCATGTAATAGTCTCTACTACACTGGAGTCTGCTTATTTTCTATGCGACCATGCTCCTATATTATAGTTCCATACAAGGTACGTACCACAGTACTAGCTTAACAAAGTAAACTTAAGGTTAAACTTTAACTTGAGGTGCAAATAGTGAAATAGAGGACAAAAATAGTACTCCAAAGAAGACTTTGTGCACATACGCACATATCTGCCAAAAATATAGTTGAAAAAAATCAAAAAATACATACATGTAGACTGCTTACATATTCAATACGGAGTATTTGATATAGTTGACAAAAATACATATTGACATATATAGACTGCTTACATATTCAATATTTTACTAATTCTCATATGCATATATTATATGATGTGAATTTTTATTTAAAACAAAAAACCTACGGTAAACAAACATTATACCTACATGCGTACAAATACTAATCTTTCAAAATAAGGCATGCAATAAACAATCAATTGATAATCCAAACAAGTAAAAAATGTTGTTTTATATTTAAGTTAATAATTCTAAAACACACAACTATAAATCAGATTGAAGTATATAAAAAAATTATGTTAATTTAAGATACTAAAAAATAATCATTTCTCAATTGATTAGAAATAACAACAAAATATTTTTATCTTTTTATAACATATAAAAAAAGATAAAAATTTTTTAAAAAAAACAGTTCTTTGATTAAGAACTCATCTCATGGATGAATCTATGGAGTATGGATTCGTAAGAAATAAGAAATGAGTTCATAGGGATAAAATTAGATTCTATATATATATATATATAATTCAAATTAAAACCATGCGAAGGGTATAGTATATCGCAAATTATACAGTGGGATTGGTGCACCATCCGCTTGGTGTACCGATCCCAAAACGACATAGTTTTGCTCCGTTTTATTTAAAAAGGAAGTATATGTGGTTCCGGTTTGATTCTCTGAAAGATTAAAAAGAGGCATTGTGCGTTTCTTCTTGAGATAGAGCATCAGACGTTGGTCATAAACTATCACCGGCGAGGAAGTGGCGGCGGTGCAACAGCTCATCCTCAAGGCGGCGGTGGTGTGGCGCTCAGCCCTGATGGCGGCTTTGATCGATGCTGACGAGCAGATCCCACCAGAAGATTTGGTACAGACCGATGAATCTCATCTTCCTTCATGTCCAGGCAGTCCAACAGCTTGTTCATAGTGAAGTCGTGCTCTGCTATTTGGGCGACGGTGTACTATATATGTATATACACCACAAAAGTTACATTTTTATTAAAAGGGTTTACATTTCCATTTATCTCAAGTTACATATGTATGAATGTGAGTTACATGTCAACTTTCTTCAGCAAGTTACATCACATTTACACGTGATTTACATTTTTCGTAATGCGAGTTACACCATAATATAATGCGAGTTACACAACAAAATAAGCTCCTTCTATTCAAAGAAAAATTATTTTTATAAAAAATCATTTTATAGAAATAAAAAATATAGATTAATTTTTATAAAAATAATTTTATAAAATTATATTTCAAGAGGTATAACAAGTAGAGAGAGTAAAACAAGTTACTCTTTCAAAAAAATGAGTAAAACAAGTTACATACTCCAGCGCGTGAGTTACATTTGAAAACACTGGATTTATATTTTACAATAACGCGAGTTACATATCAACACAAAGGATTTACACCACGAAAAGAATTAGACAAAAGTAAGAGTACTGTTCACGCGAATTTTGTTAAATTAAACCTAAACGACACCATTTTATATGTGGGAGTATGATGCTCACCGTGGGATGATCCCACGGTATAACAACTGATAGTATATACACCGGATTGTAAAAAAATCAATAGATATTAGATAAATTTTTAGAAAAAATAAAACAAACAACATTCCATCGTTGTTGAGATGAGCGGCAGAAATGGTACGTATTGTTTGGAAAGCAACTTCTGCACAGCTTTTGGTTTGTTGAGGAGGAAGATAGGGTTGAGATTGGCAGCTAGAAGGATGATCACATGTAGACGAAATATGAGAGGATAATAGCTAAAATATGAGGTGGTGATTCCTAAAATATGACTGCATAGCTTTTATTCCTCAATTAATGGTGTTTTGATCCACTTTTTCTCCCTTAGTTCAATTATTGCTCATGTAAAGTCATGCTTAAGTTTGGTAGTCACATATTAGGAATCTATGAATATTTTAATCACATTTTGATAAATTTCTCTTCAAATTATTACAAATTACATTTATAGCTGTAGATTCTCTATTTGCTTTGGTTATTGTGAATTCTTCATCTTGGAGTTCTTTCAAATAGGTTAACTATCTAACCAATGAATGTTAATTGACTTGACCTTCCCTCTAACCATATAGAATTTAAAATCCATGCATTGAAAAAATGATAAATGTAAAGACTACTCAAAGGACCATATGTATGAAATATTAAAGCTGAGATATCGATGTTTCCAAGTCTGAATAAAGATCTCAAATGAATATTGGTGAGGTTGAAGTAATGAATTTAGAATAACAATTAATTTTGTAAGCTAAGAGGGGGGGAAGAATTCCAAAAGAAAGATTCTTGCCTTGTTGTAATGGGAAAATGAAAGAGGTCAGGATCTTCACAATTAAGTCTATAAATAATGCACCGTGATCAATGCTAAACATCATTCTAAGTACTCAATTTGAAATCCCATTATATATTTCTCAACTAAGCTTAAGTTAAGATCAAATTAAAGTATTTATTGTCGCAGTTCTTACCAGAAAATATGGCACCCAAGGTACACGGCACCTTGCAATCACCAGCAACGTTGAGAGTAATTGCTTGTCTTAAAGAGAAGGAGCTCGATTACGAACTTATCCTAGTTAATATGAAGGGTGGAGAACACAAAAAAGAACCTTTCCTCCGACTGAATGTGAGTCCAACCAACTTTACTCAAAAACTTAATTAATTTCTCAAACTTAAATGAATTTACATGTATTGATAGTATGTGCTAATTCATGTCTCTCGTCTTCGGTCGATTGTTGTGGCAGCCCTTTGGTAAAGTGCCAGTTTTCGAGGATGGAGATTTGAAGCTCTTTGGTAATGTTATGCTATACTAACTCTGTTTCACAATTAAATTTATAATAACTAGATTTTCAGGGCGTTTAATTAACATGGCCATTAGTATGGCGTTTAACTAGTTTTGAGGATGGAGATTTCGAGTATATACTATATAGAAATCTATACTTATAAAATTTGTAATGAATAAACTAACATTTGAATATATATATATATATATATATATATAAGTATTACGTAGTAGAAAATATTTCAGTTATAAAAAATATATGAAATATCATTTTAAATATATGAAATATCATTTTACATATATACAAATACAAACACTTATGCAAGACCATAGATTACTTTTCCTATCTATTTTACTTACCTTTTAATTAGGTACGTAAAATAGGACATTAGAGCTAATAATCTCAAACGAACAATTCAGTCATTTTATGACTAGTAATTACTCTAAATAGGACTATATAATTAAGACGTACAATGAGCACATATATGAAATTACATACTCACATACAAAACACAATGCAAACTCACACAAAACTTTGAATAGTATAAAATGCAGAATCTTCATATAAAGATTGATCACTATTTAATTAAGACGAAACTCAAATCTGCATCAACCAATGGGTTGAATTAGATTTTCAAATTATTATAAAATGCATTGGGCATGAAGTTTTTAAGGCTTACTGTTATGATCCCAATCATCAAAGTATATATGTTCTGAACGTTGTGGGATCTCGTAGAGTCAAGAGCAATAACCCGATACATTGCACACACATATGTTGACCATGGGAGCAAGTTGATCCCCACAAACTATAAAGAAAAGGCGATCATGTGGGTTTGGATGGAGGTTGAGGCTCACCAATTTGATGTGGTGGCATCTAAGCTGGTCTTTGAGCTCATCATAAAGCCCTTACTCGGCACGGTGACAGACAATGCTATTGTGGCACAACACGAGGAGGCGTTGTCCAAGGTTCTTGACGTGTACGAGCAACGCCTTAAGGTGTCAGAATACATGGCTGGGGAATATTTCACATTGGTTGATCTTCACCACACACCTGTCATAAGTCAACTCATGGGTACTAAAGCTCAGGTTTTTTTCAAAGCACGTCCACGTGTTGATGCTTGGGTTGCTAAACTCTTGGCCAGGCCTGCTTGGTTAGAGGTTCAGAAGTTGGTCCTGTCAAACAACACTCCAGCTTCTTCAAACAACACTCCAGCTTCTTCTATTTCGAGTTTCATCTCTTCACCGTTTCTTTTGTGTTTTGAGTGTTCCATCTTTATCGTAATTATTTGTGCCATGTTGCACTCTGTATTTGAGCATGTTTAGTTTTTCATATGTGACTTTGTACGATGGCATTTTACTATCTGAAATAATGTTGTGGACTTGTAAAAAATATCAATACCATATACTTTGATCTATGAATTCCTTGGCTCTACTATTGGTTTCTAAGATTTTTATTTACAATACTTGAGAAATAACAATATCTGAAATAATGTTGTGGACTTATTAAGAAATTTGGCTAATAATACTTGTTCATAGGTAAATAGTTAAATTTAACTATGTGAAATTTTTGAGAATATGAGTAAAAGCAATGTGAAATTTCAAAATAGAAGTGTTACATTTTCTTTCCCTATATAGGAGTAAATCACTACTAAATTTCTTGGATTTTAGTGTCTGATTTTCCGTTAATAAATCCGCTAGTAACGATGTTAGCGCCGGATTTCAGTGTCGGATTTTCAGACAATAAAATCTGGAAATTAATTCGTTTTGCTTCAAAATAAAGAAACTGACACTAATCAGATGCGGAGTTTAGTGCCGGAATTTTTGCCGCTAACGTTGTTTATATTACTATTTGGTCCCTCATCAATGTTTCTAAATAATTCATTTGACCTACAACCTCCGAATATATGCATTATCGACCATATGGGTTCACGAAAATGAATCATTCCCAACATAACATTGGATTTTTCATGTGATTGTGCCGCACAAAGATGTAGATTGGAGTGTTGAACCATGTGATCTTTTCAAAGATGCACATCACTATCTTCAAATTGGTTTTTTTCAGTTTGGTGGTATGATCTCAGGGATGTAACCGAAAGATTTACCAACTAAAAGTAGGAGTTCAATAGTAAGGACAAAATTCGAAGCATAGGGACTAGAGGAATCATCAAACATTTTAGATTTAGGATAGTTCTTATTACAATATACAGCAAATTATATACATGAGTTGACACTAATCTGTTAACTATTCCTGTAACAACTTCGCTGACGTGGCCTCCCTTATCTTATTCTTCATAAGCAGCCAGCTCACTCAAGAGGCATAGCATTTGGTTAGTGATAACTTTTATGAAATGATATTCCATTCATGCGTCCTTTATTTACTTATACTAGGATTACTAGGGCTGTAAACGAACCGAGCTTTTTTCGAACTATTCGAGTTTGAGCTCGGTTTCGAACCTAACGAACCGAGCTTAACGAGCTTTCAAGCTCGAACCCGAACTGAGTTTTAAGTTCAAAAACTTAATCGAACCGAGCTCGAACATAGTAGTATTCGGCTCGGTTTGAACTTGAGTCTATCGAACACCTGAAATTCAAATATAATTTATATATATTTCAAAGTTTAAATATAATTAGTATGATTTTTAACGAGCCGAATACTTGTCGAATCATTCGAGTACAAGCTTATTAACGAGCATCACCTAAAATTTTATATTCAAGTATATTTATCGAGCTTATTGATATCTCGATTCGAACATCGAATGCCTGACGAATCGAACATGAGCCTCGTTTGTAAAGGTCGTCGAGCTTCGAACTCGAACCCGAACCCCACTAATTTCTTATCGAGCCGAACTCGAGCTTTGGGTGTTCGAGCTCGGCTCGACTCGTTTACAACCCTAACTTATACAAATCATATGTAATTGTGTTGGTTAATTAATAAAAGTTGCATAAAAAAATTAATGAAAGTTGCATATTCCTTTCAAAACCAAGTATTCTTTTGATATGTATAGGGATGGAGTGATGGACTAAACCGGGCCGACTCGACCCAAAACCTACCCGGCCCGTTACTGTTTGAGCCCAGACCGAACCAGGACCAGCTGGCCGGTTTCGGGCTTTTAGTCCATTTGGGCGGGTCGGGCAGGCCAGGCTCGGGCCCAACTTTTGGTGAACCGGCCCGGGCGATTCGGGCCGGGCCGGGTTCAATTTTTTTTTTTAATTTTTTTTTTGCTTTTCTAGGTTAGGGTTGGGTGTTTTGAGGGGGTTCTGGGGGTGGGGTGAGGGGGGGTCGGGTGTTAATTAGAAACCAAAAAAAATTGAACTTGACCCGGGCCCAGCCCGGCCCAGTTAGGCCCGGACCCGGTATCAACCCGGGCCGGTTCCGGGGCCAACATTTTACAAAAAAAAAAGCCCGCCCGGACCCGGCCCAGAACCGGAACCGGACCGGACCGGGTCCATCCCTAGATATGTACATAAGAGCAACAAATTAAAACACAACCTTAAGGTAATTAAAAACTTACCCATTCTGGAACAATTCTGATAGTTGTGTCTTTCTTCTAGACTTATAAATTTAAACTTTCAAATATTCCGCATACCAACATATATGTGCTTTCATTATATCAAAACAATTATCATTACAATTATTATTATTCGTTTAAAATTGCTTTATATTTTTATGTTTATATTTAGAAAATGTACATGCATAAATTATTTGCCAGTGCAACGCCACTGTTCTCGAACCAGTGTTTGACTGTTTGTATTCTCCAACAAGTGTGTGTACATATTCTGAAAAAGAGCTCCAAATTTATAAACACTTTCATATTAATCATATACGAAATCACGTTGTGAATCCTATATTTAGACCATAAATAGAAAAAATAATAAAATTACCCCGGGTATTGTGTTACAACCATAACTTAGATGGTGTGACTCAAGCCACAGGCTCTGATGCCATTTATTGATCCAGGTTACACTGGAGAATATAAAAATTTGAAAGACAGGGATTGTAAGTTGGATTGAATTGCTAACCTAGAAAAGTGATCTACTCAATAGCTTCTATGAACAACTCAGCACATAAAAGTTGATTATCTACCCTTCTTTGATGTATCAATTGCCTTATCCGCATAAGGATATTCTGGTGAAGCTGCCCATAGACCTCCTAGAATGACTAAATGTGCAGAAAGAAGCAGGATGGATGAGTAAATACTGGATGGGTAGACATTCCAGCACAACTCCACTAGTGCGAACAACAGCAAACTGGGGAGAAATGTGAATATGTTAAAAACAAGAATAATATAGTGCAATTAATATAGAGTAGCAAACCGCGTAAAATTACCGAACAATGGTTGGGAACGATGTTTTCCACAGTAAATATGGCATGCTAAAAAAGTACCTGAGATAACAACAGAAAAAGGACCAAAATAAAATGGAATTTATATTTCATTTTGGAACCTAAAGCTTCATCGTCACTTTTGGAAAATACGACACAAAACCAACGCAAATTCAATAACTCACGTAGGAAAGGCTGGAGTCCCAGATTGGAATATTATAGAGAAAAGTGGATGCATAATAGCTTGGGTTGAACTAACTATTTATTAGTTTCAACCTTTTAGTGTGAATTGACTGTGCACTATGACACAGCTGAGTAACCTCACCCCAACGCAATCCTAAATTCTACGAGGGACTGAGGGAGTGTAAGGTTGTCGGGTTACTAATTGTCAATAGAACGAACCAACCAATTTGAAGCATGCATGCACACTAATGGTATACATGGATCGAACCTGATGGACCAGCAGGATTGGAAAAGTGGCATGTGCGCTATTTTTGGGTGGGGCCAAGAGGAGTTGCAAATTCATTGTATTTCGTAGACCTGCATGACTTTCTATCTCATATAACGGAGGATATTATTAGTTCATAAATGAAAGATTTAGCTCCATGCTAATTCTTCTTCTCTTTAGCTTATATATATGCACTCATTTATAGCTCAAATTCATGATGTTTATCTCATCCTACCAAAACAAAAACCCTAGGGAGTGGGTTGTGGTTCTCTAGTTTCTCTTTTTGCTTCATCCCCTACTCCCACGCAGGGTCAAGCATCATCTACACTAGTGCCTTTATGGGATGATGTGAGTACAAGTGGCAGAGTTGGTACAAGCACCAATGCCGATCCTTGCTGAGGTGAAACCCGATCACTCAGAACCGTGATATACCTCTTCTTTATATCCACGGTGAACAATTTCACTTCTTGCTAAAATAACTATTAAAGAAAAGCACAAGTGTAGCAAAACAGCAGAGCATAGCTTACCAAGAGTAAAACTGATAATGGAGGGAACGAGCACATATTATGCCAATGAAGTTTCCGACAAACATTGTAGTCACAATATCTGAATGCAGCCAAAGGAAAATAATTTATATTACATTAATTCATGGATGGGGGGTAAAAACAAATATATCAAGAGAAGCCAAATTGCCCGTCATGAAAGTAAATGTCAGAGCAGAATCATAGAAAAGAGAAGATTGTGAAACAAACTTACAGTCTGGTTGAATATATTTGTGGCCTAAACTTTGATAGGAGGCTTTACGTGATATGGAGAATAACGCTATAATTCTTTGCTTCAGTTGAATAATCTGAGACTTTAAGATAGTAAAAAGTCCCCCTTCATGTCTGTAGAAGATATACAGTTATTCAGTCAATCTCAAGTCAATCCCAGTTTCATATTAAGGATGTTTTTACTTAGACCGTAAATTGTTGGTCTGATCTGGTCTGTTTAAGTTTGGTCTGGTCTGGTCTGTTTAAGTCTAGTCTGAACTGGTCTGGTGAACGTCTGGTATCTGTGTATTTTATAACTGCAGAAGTCAAGTCTGGTCTGTTTAAATATGGTCTGGTCTGGACTGGTGTGTTTAAGTCTAGTCTAGTCTGGGACTGAAAACAGTCCAAGTAAAAACATCCTAATTGGAGATAATAGCCTTAAATAGGACTAAATTAATTTCTAAATGCGCAAATATAACTATGTTATTTATCTTCCCAAAATAAGACTAAAGTATACACTATCTTCCTATTCTTCCCTTACCATAACTTAATAGGATAATCATATTTTAATTTGTAATAAAAAATAAAAATATTTTGACTTATACAAAAATCATAAAAACTATGAAAATTCTAAAATATTTATAAAAAATATTAAAATAATAAATATTAAAAAAAATAAAAATAAAAACTTTAAAAATAAATAAATAAATAGATCAAACACATTAAGAAATAAAAAAAATGGAGGCCTTTCCTGCAGCCTCGGCCACCACCCAACAATGCCACCTCTGATCAAAGAAAAAAAGTCATTTTGTGTAAAAAATGCAATTTCTTCTTTGAAAAAGCCATAAATATGGCATTTTTACTCTTTGAAAATGTCAAAACTTTCTCGGAAACTGCCATCAAGATGGCATTTCCGACACATTTTGGCATTTTTCCGGTGGTGCTGGGAGGTTGGTGAGACGGCAGCAGAGGTCTGCATATTTTTTTATATTTTTTACGTTTTTTATTTTTTTATTTTAATTTTTTAAGTTTTTCATTTATTAATTTTTTATTCAATATTTATTTTCGTGTTTTTTATTTTTTAAAAGTTTTATAATAAATAAAGTTATGTTACTCCGTATTTCCGACACATTTTGGCATTTTTCAGGTGGTGCTGGGAGGTTGATGAGACGGCAGCAGAGGTCTGCATATTTTTTTATATTTTTTACGTTTTTTATTTTTTTATTTTAACTTTTTAAGTTTTTCATTTAATAATTTTTTATTCAATCTTTATTTTCGTGTTTTTTATTTTTTAAAAGTTTTATAATAAATAAAGTTATGTTACTCCGTATTACTTTTATGTTTTAATTATTAATGAAATTTTAAAACAAAGCAAGGGTAAAGTTATTTTTTCATTTATGAATTGTATTAAAACAAAGCAAGGGTAAAGTTGGAAAGCTAGTCCTATTTAGGGAATTTTAAAGTTATAGTCCTATTTCGGCAATTACAGCTTTATTTAGTCCTATTTGGGGAATTCCCCCTATTAATTGCATATCTACTAAATGAAAGGTGAAGCTATATCTTTGGGGTTGAATCCAACATCACAACAAAATGCCAAAATCAAAATGGTGCCCTTTCTAAAGATGTTTTTACTTGGACTATAATTTGATGGTCTGGTCTGGTCTGATCTGTTTTGGTCTGTTTTGGTCTGGTCTGATCTGTTTTGGTCTGGTCTGAAATTTTATTTTTTATATTTTTTGCATAAAGATTTTATTTTTTATATATATTATAATCCATAAATAATTATATTTATTCATTTATAATTACAAATAATAATAACAATAACAACAACAACAACAACAATAATAATAATTAGGGGTGTGCACTATCCGGTTTAAACCAGAAAACCGGACCGAACCGGACAAGAATAACCGGAACCGAATCGAACCGGAATGACATCAGGTCCGGTTCGGTATGATCCGGTCCGGTTTTGAACCGGTGCACACCCCTAATAATAATAATAATAATAATAATAATTAGGGGTGTGCACTAGCCGGTTTAAACCGGAAAATCGGACAGAACCGGTCCGGAAAAACCGGAACCGGATCAAACCAAAATGATATCCGGTCCAGTTCGGTACGGTCCGGTACGGTTTTGAACCGGTGCAAACCCCTAATAATAATAATAATGATAATAATAATAATAATAATAATAATAATAATAATAATAATAATAATAATAATAATAATTAGGGGTGTGCACTAGCCGGTTTAAACCGGAAAACCGGACAGAACCGGACCGGAAAAACCGGAACCGGATCGAACCAGAATGATATCCGGTCCGGTTCGGTACGGTCCGGTCCGGTTTTGAACCGGTGCACAACCCTAATAATAATAATAATAATAATAATAGTAGTAGTAGTAGTAATAATAGTAATAATAGTAATAATAGTAATAATAGTAATAATAGTAATAATAGTAATAATAGTAATAATAGTAATAATAATAATAATATAATAATAATAATAATATGGTATGGTGTGGTGTGGTCTGTTTTAGTTTGGTCTGGTCTGATCTGGTCTGTTTTGGTCTAGTCTGGTCTGGGACGAATTACAGTCCAAGTAAAGACAACCTAACTATGTGATACAAAAAGCACAATGAAAACAGACCAAGTCATTCCCTTTCTATAATGATTATTTTTCAAGAAAGTATAAAATATTATACGTGACCTGCACCATCTACAGTGAGCAAAAACAACAAGCAGTGTCAGATGAACAGCCAACAAAGAGACTGCAAATGTTTTAGAGATAAACATCTCCTCAGGTACAAATTTGAAGTTAACAGACCTGAAATTAATAAAAACATAAAAAATAAAAATTGACATTCTTACACAAGCAATTGCACAGATTACAAGACAATAGGCTAATTTGATGAGTAATAATCTCAATCAATTTTGTGTGTTATATACTTTTGTGCAATTTAAAAAGTTGTTCATAATAAAACAATCGTACTCCTGAAATAAGTGGGAAGAACCAAATACACATATTTACATTAAACAAGCAAAAACTCTAAGACATAAATGATCTTATGTTTGGAGATGTCAGCAAGTACAGCCATTGTGCTAAACTTGCAAATGCATGGTGGGACTAGAGGTTTTTTTACTCAACGTTTTAAGAATGACCGAAGGACTCAATCAACTAACAGGTCAAAAGCTGCTACTAATTAGATCCATTGAAGAGTTGTGCTCTGCCAGAGAATTAGTATTGGTATCTTAAAGCAATCATGTTTTTATAATACAGTGTATTCATAAATACCAATTAATGCAGCATATCTCCACTTATTTGTGTTTTAGAAAGTACCAAAAGTGGATGAATACACGGCCAAGATTGAAAGCTCCTGATATATATGAAACTGGATGTGGCAAGATAAAAGGCAGCCCTAAGACAATCTGCACCAGTTACAGTTGTTTGCAAGATGATGAAGAGATCAACCTCACCAAATAAGCTCACAGAGTCTTATATAGTGTGTAAAATCTGACTCACCTTATTA